TGTGTGTGTGTGTGTGTGTGTGTGTGCGAGTGCGCGCACGGGCATCTTGCACCATACTTACGCAATTCTTTTGGGATCAGTTGGAGGTAAGAGTCGTCCATGACTATCCAGGAAACGCTCTGGGTTGAATGCCCATGGGTCAGTGAAGATTCTTTCATCGTGGTGGATGTACCATGCGTTGATGATGATCTGGAAACAACAACAACAAAAACCAAAAACTATAAGCCTACATTGTTTACTTCATTGTTAACAAGAACCCAAGCGGATGGTTGGCGGGTGCTATGGTGTGGTTTGCTTCTTCATTTCTATCAAACATCTATCGTCCTTATCTCTCCTCCTTCTTTTTATGTTTGTTACTCTCTAGTAACACCTCTAAACTTTGGCACCTTTATGACCTTATTGTGTTGCAAGTGCCGTAAAACACATACTAAAACTAAAAACTAAAGCTCTCTCTTTCTCTGTCTGTTTGTCTTTCAAACCTTTCTTCCAACCATATCAGGGTCACTCTTAATGTGTGGGTTGTGGCCCCATCCCACTGGAACCAGGCATGTACAGTATAACACCCTTCCCCAAACTTCTACAAAACCTTCTCGACATATTCGTTAGATATCTCTCTCAGGTGACTGTTATGATTTTACCGTCCTTGTCCTGAAACCAGAACGGGCTTATCACGCCCCTGTAGTTGAACGCTTATAAGGAGTAAAATTTTGCGTTTTACCCAATTTTGTTTGACATTTTTAAAACTTGATATTTCTTGAATACGTTGATTGGTTGTCTTCATATTTATAAACCTGGTGTCGTCATGGTTGAGTTCTTTTTGTCTGAATTTTTGTTGAAATCAGTAGGCCTATAGATATGACTGAGTTATTACCTTTAAGTCGGTCCTCTTTTTTTAAAGACAACCTGTATGTAATGACCCCACTGGAAGTTCTGTAATGGTGAGAGTTACGATCTCCAACGAGGGAGAGAAACCAACTTGGTGCCTTAAAAAAGTAACAATCTAAAAAAAATGTGCCTTTTCCCGCTGACCCTCTCTCCTTGCGTATGTCACTGCCATATTATGCTTTCCAAGAGCATCTCTATCATTGGGCTAAGGCGCTTTTCTTGATTCATCAAACAAACTACCGGTACATTGTTTGATCTAATAATCACACAACAAACAAGGGGATGCAAAAGTAGCTGTACAGTAATTGACACATCATTTTTATAATGACATTTACTTAATCCATTAATATTAGGCCTAGTAGAAGAGTGTGGGAATACCGACGGCAAGCAGTTTGAGTATTTTGGGGAATTACCGCTGTGCTTATTATATATTATGTATTCATTTAGACAATACATACCATGTAAGTAATATGGCTGTTTTTTTCCATTGCATACCTACTGCTGCACCCCTCCCACAAACCACTGTGTAACCTTTTGAACTTATGTTCTTCTTTCGAGGAATATAATTTAATTTGATATTCACACAATTTTTTAAGATTTTCAACTTACGTTGGTGTTTCGGGGAATAATACTATTTAATAGAAATGTTCACAATTTTAAAAACGTTTTTAACTTACGCTCGTGTCTTTGGGAATGGTCAGGCCGAAATCTGTCAGCTCCATCTCCTTGGTAGCCTTCCTTCCAGCAGTTAGCGGCAGATTGGAGGCGTAGCGGAAGATTTCCAGAACAGTGGCTTCCGTGTAGGGCATGCTGGGGCGGTCGTCGACACGGGGTCTCCTGCCACGGCCCACAACCTCGTCCACTTCCCGCTGGATCCGCCTCTGCACCTCCGGGTGGTGGATGAGGACCAGGAACAGAGACAGTAGGTACCCCAGTGACGTGAGGTGACCTGGAATAAAAAAATAAAATAAATACATACATACATACTATACAATAAATACTATAAATAAAATTAATGTACAGAGAGCTCGCGCATTGTTTGCTCTTGTTCGTTGGTAATTATTTTTTAACGCCTGTCATGCTTGTCATCAGACATCGATTGTACCAGCATATTTTTTTCTTTGGCTTCTTTGTGGTAGTAAAAAATTAAGGAAATAAGATCAACACGTTTGCTCCTCTGTCGTCGAACTTTTTAGTTTCATAAAACAAACAAACACACACACACACACAC